CCCCACCCCTCCCACCTCCCTCACCCACCCGCCCCTCCCCACTGAACGCGCTAATGCACTAACGCACACACCGCCCCACAGAAACGTCTGCTGCTGGGATGTGAAAGTGTTGAATCTGCAGGTTGAAGTGGTTTTCGTGTTTGAATTACATCATCACGTCTCTTGAGGGTTGTGAAAGTGTTCCAACCTTTGAGAATAAACATGTGGCCCGACTACAGCCTGAAGTGGAACGGTTTTAATTTGACATGGACAATGTATGGCGGGGTATGAATGATACTATTGATGATGTCACAGAACGGTTTTGACGGGAAAGGAAGTTGATTGTGGTAAAAAATGAAAAGTGGTTTAAACATAAATTACATTCAGAAAAAATTATTGAAAATTTTACTTTTTGAATTTCTTACAAACGGTTTAATGTCGAGTTCAAACAGTGAGTTGAGTTGAATTGAATGCGACTACAGAGAATGATCACTTGTTTGGCCGTGCTGCTTGTTTTTGTCTCATATCAGACTAAACTGAATTAGTTTGGCTTTTAAACAGTTAATCAGATAAAGCAAACGATTTGATGAGATCACCCTGAGACTATTTAGGAAACCCAAAGCACCATTTTCACTACTTTATAGTATAATCATAAATCAAGAAAATAATCAGAAGATGAATCAACTAGTCATATAATCAATACTTTACTCCTCTTTTAGTGTGAGCCGTGATGTTCTTCACTTTGGTTCTTTGTGTGCACAGATTGTTGTTAGATGGTAGTTGTCCACGTGATGTTTGTTTTGGAGTGATATGATGATGTACTAGTGTGAAATACTAGTGTATCTAATGTGATTCACATCAGTCACATGACCTCCAGAGTCCAGTTGTCATTCAGCTGATCACTGTTCTCCTGCAGGGGGCGACGTCGGGCTCCAAACTGAAGAGGCCCACGTTCCACTCGAGCCGCGGCTCGCTGACCGGAGAGAACGGAGGAACGACGCACTCCTGCAAACCGTCACGAACCGGTGAGACGACGGTGACGGGCGCTGTGGACTCATTATATGTCCAAAGAATGCCAGTGGACATTAAAATGTGTTGATTATCACTTTATTAGCTAATTCTTCTTCACATGAAACGAGACTAAGAATCTACAGTCATACCAGAAGCTCCGTGAGGCTTTGAGCTAAATGCTAATGTCAGCATGCTCACGTGAAGATGTTAAGCAGTTAATGTTCACCATAGCATGTTAGCATGTTAGCATGTTAGCATGCTCACTTTAAACTACAAATGTGAACGTCATGGTGGCGCTAGAACATGTCTGTACAATATTTACAGCTGATCTATTGAGTAGATGTGAAACCTTTGAGCATCATGCTGTGTGAGATTAAAAACAAAACCAATAGGATTCATCCTCAGGGGACCATGATCATCTAACATCAGTTCAGATATTTCAGTCTGGACTAAAGAGGTGGACCGACCGACCGACCAGTACCACACCCGTAAAGCCCGGCTGCTAGCGTGGCTAAAGCATTGTGGTGCAATAAGTTTACATCTTAATGTCGTTCATTCGAAAAATATAATCTACACATTTTTTAACAAGTGTTTTTCGTCCGTCTACCCGCTAGATCCCAAACGAGGGGCGTCCACAGCCAGCGGGTCGACCAGCCGAGCCGGCAGCCGGGCGGGCAGCAGAGCCGGCAGTCGGCGTGGCAGCGATGCCTCGGACGCATCAGAGCTCCAGGACGCTCGCTCCGTCTGCTCCGACGCCTCCGACACCCCACGGCGACCCGGGGCCAAACCCTCGAAGATTCCCACCATCTCCAAAAAGGCCCCCAGCCCAAAGAACCCGGGTTCTGCGAAGAAATAACTCCAGCCACAGAGAAATGTGGAGCAGAACCGTTGCCCCTCCGTCTCACAGAGGGATGACTATCATCGGCCATTTTCAGTGTACAAGCTCTTCAGCCTGAGATCCATCCACAGGGCTTGTGTAGAGTTTGTGCACTATGACTGATGATATTTTCCAGGGAAAGGAGGAGATGGATAGGATGAGTAAATCTCTTTCTCACTCTTTCCTCGGTCTCATAAACGGACTGAAAACCTGCACAAGAGGAGTGGAGTTCTGGTCTGGCAGTCCGGGCTAGAACCCGTGGGGTCGAACTGGACTTTTCCCCTTTAAGACGCGACCCCATTTTGCCTTCCAGTCTCCTGCTTCGTCTTTTAAACGTTCCCCCGCGTGGAACCGAACACCAAACTGACCTGACGTGACGCTGCCTTACTCGTACGCTGCTGTCCACATCGGACAGAGCAACCGCTTTATACACTGACACGCAAATACACAGGGAGTGGGACACACCACCACCACCACCACGGATACGAGAACAAACAAAAAGACATTCAAGAAAATAAAGAAGAAGAAAGAATTGCGGGTCATTATTTTTGCCTGAGGGCCAAATGCCTCAGCGATGAGTTTAAAAAGAAAATATGCAACGACCGCCATGTCGCTTCCTCCGGACCGGTTGGCGAGAAAAGCGGTCACCTCAGCAGATCTGCAAAAAGCAGCCACCTGCTGTGGTGAGCTCAGGAGGCAGGAAACGATGCCCGGCACACACACACACACACACACACACGTCGGCTAACCTCAGACTCGGAGGGTCGGTGGTGGTGACTGTGGCGGTGGTGGTGCTGCTGCTGCTGAGGACAAACACTCACACACTCAAACACCGCAGAGCAGACTCCTCCCGACCGCTGGAACGTTGTGTGTGCATTTCAGCAGAGGGCGGTGCGGTTTTGTCGTAACAATCCAACACACGGAAATCACAAACTGGCAATAGAAAGGACTGTTCTTCTGGTGACACACTCGGCTAACAGCACATTACTGACAATATACGACATGTGAAACCTAACCCGATGTTCGACAACCAGCATGCACTAACTGTCTCTTCCTCTGCAGTTCCACCTTAATGTCTACGCTGCGTTGCCCTCAGCACGCACACACACACACACACACACACACACACACACACACACACACACACACTCTCTCTCTCAAACACACACGGTGGTGTGCATCATGTGTGTCATTGTTACAGGAAATGATAGAGGTCGTTGACTTGAGTCACTGTATGCAAAAAAATTAAATTTGCGAATGTCATTTTTGTTTTTCTTCTGGTTGTTTTCTGGTTAATTTATAATCCAGTTGTACGTTATTTAGCTTGAAAGAAAAATCTATTTATTTTTCAGTGTCATGTCATATCACCTTGTGCGGAGAGTGATTTAGTATTATGGTTAAAGAATTTGAGTTTTTTTGTACCAAGGATAAATGTCCGCTCGGCTCTTTAACATTACGTGTGTGTGTTTCTACTTCATTGTAACTTTATTCACTCGGTCTCTGATTCTGGTGGCAGCCTTGTTTGTTCTGTTTTCTTTCTTTCTTTCTTTTGCTAATGACTACAATTCCCAGACCATGACCAAAGGGGTTTTCCCTTCATGTCTAGAGAGAACTACAAATATGAATGACAGGGAAGCCTGGGCGGATTGGACCAATGAGAGCAGGTTTCCTCCCTCATGTCCCTCCCCAGCATCTCTTCTTCTAGGCTTTTTTTCAAATGCCCGTCATTGACGGGACCGAGTCGTCTCTGTGTTATCTCAGTCTGAGAGATGAAGTTTATGAAAAACGAATGAAATTACAGTAAGAAAGAAGACATCTTAAGCTGATTTGTATTTATTTATTGTCTCTGAGGGGGGGGGGGGGGGGGGATTCTGTGTGCAGGAGACGAGTCCTCCTCCTCTTGATGCTGTGCTCCTGTGTGATGACGAGAACATTGAGGGAGGGAGGGTGTTACTAGGAGTCAATGGTGTAAAAGTAAAACAAAAAACTAAAATTATAAACATTTTTTGTTCTGTTTTTGTATTAAAAAATATGCTTGCAGTAAAACCCTCTTGTTTTTGATTTTATTTAATCTATGGACCTGTGCAAATATGAAAACGACTGTGAATGTATGAATGCTGTTTGTAAAAGTTATTTTCATAATTGATTAATTGTTGAAGTAGTTTAAGTTAAAATAATTAATGCTTCTCAGAAGCTGACCCTGATTTTCTTCCCGTGACAATAAGTAGAATCATTTGGTTTCTCGGACACAATCAATTTATTTAAATGCATCAACGTGGTTCTGGGAACTTGTGATTCTCCCAATTTTCTGACATTTTGTAGACTAAGTTATTAATCGATGATTTGACAAAATTGTGAGATTAATCGATGGAGTGAATGTGAGCCGTGTCTGTCTTGTTGTTTTTAGTTTTGACAGAATATTTATTTAGTTTCACAGCACAGTTTAAGCAGTAGTGCTGATATTACTGTAGTTTTGTGTAGTTTTTCGGATGCTTTCAAAATTGTTCATATATTTTAATGTTTTATGTCTTATTTTCAGCATGATTGCTTTGTTTGTGATTACTGTGTGTTTGTGTGCATTGCTGCCCTCAGGACTTGGTAATTGTCTTTTTACCTAAATATTTTTGCATGATCCATTAGTGTGACTTTAATTCATTTTTTGTCACTATTTTGCCTAGTATCTACATCATTTTAATATTGGACTTTTTTCTTTACGTAGGGCGTGTTTATGTGAGCATGTTTATCATTTCTGAATAGATTCCAATGAGCTAAATGGTTTTAATTCTTTGTTTACAGCCTTCAGTCGCTCTTGGTTGACAGCACACCACAGACTCGGAGGACATTTCTCGGTAATTATCCTGTAACGGATCAGGACACTGAAACAGGGGAGGTGGTGGTGGTTGAAATCAATTTTAATAATTAGAAATCTCTAATGTCGAGTTCCCCTCCAGCTCTGTCTCACAGTCCCAGTTTGTGTGTCCGTGTGAGACAGAGAGGGAGTGTTTGAAAATAACTTCGGTCCTGTTTATTCGGTGGTTCCACCGGAGATGATGAGGTCTGAGTCCACCCTCTGCAGCTGTGTGTACACTCATTTTCTATCCACACTGCATCCATCTGGGCCCGTCCTCCCGGCAGCCCATCGGTCCTCCCAGACTGCCCTCTCTGATGACCGTCATTGCTCGTAATGTCGTTTGTCAGCTGGGTTTATATGTTTTCAAGGGCACTCGGCTCCCCTTTCCGTTCATTCGTCTTGAACTCACTCCCTCTCTGTTCTTTCACCTCCTCCTCCTCCATCCTCACTCACTCCTCACCATGATCAGACGAAACCTCCCAAAGTTGTGGACGTGCAAAGGAAAGGAAAACAAAACGGGCAGCGCGTTAATTCCTGGCATTGGGGACTCGCCCTTTCGGCCAGGACAAAATGAACCGCGGTCACTTTGGTTTGGTCAGTGTTATTCATGCCTTTCAAAGTGACCACAAGTAGCAGGCAGCTTTTGAAGAATAGAGTACACAAACACGGGCTGGCACAGGGCTGAGCCTCACTACTATATTTGAGTCATTTCTTCCCTCCAAGTCCTTCTGCTTTAAACACACATGCAGCGAATGAGCTCGGTACACTAATGAACAGCTCAACAGGAAATGGTGTTACCCGGTGAAGCCTTCAGTGTTCAAAGGTTTCCACAAGTGTTTCATGTTAGTCCAAATTTGGCAAGTGGCATTTTTTGTCCCTGTGACAGTTATGTTTGAGATTGTAAAGCTTGAACTGGTGGTAGAAGAGGTGATCAGATCTTGTACTTAAGTAAACTTATTACAATATGCATGAATACGCGCATGACTGGATGCTTCGTCATCAACAGACGATGCATATAGTCAAAATCAATCCAGCAAAACTACGGCACTAAAACACGCATTCCACTGCACACTGAAGAGCACGAGCCGTTCACATATTATTCACATCAGAGGGAAGAATATTAACCATATCATAAAAACAACACCATAGACAAATGAACATGAATGATGTAAAAGCAGCAAAAACAGTTCACTTACCAAAGCTGCTGTTCACTATTTAAAGACAAAACCTTTCTTTCATTACAAAGAGTTTAACACCACGGTTGTACAGAACATCGTTTTAGTTCCAGTAAGAAGTCCTTCTCGATTCATGGACGCCAGAGATGACAGTCGAGCCTCCCCAGTTGTATTTCTTGAATACGTTTTAATGCGTTTGAGGGCTGAAAATGTCCGCTCCACAGAGGCAGCTGATATTGGGATTGTCACACCAAACATGCCAAAACGCTAAAAATGTAATGTCACGTAAAAACATCTTACATATCTTTAAACTTGAACTCTTACTACTACAAAGTTCTGTTAGCTAGTTTCACAACAGTGACACTGACCATCAAACCGCACGTTGATAATGACGTCCTCGGCTAGGCCAGCTAGAAAGCTCTGACACATCAAAGAATACGCCCAACATGTCAAACTAAAGATCTGATTAGTTGAAGACTATGATGATCAACAATATCGTCCCCATTCACTTAAACTGCAAAGGGATTCACTTGTGAGTCTGCAGGCCTCGAGCATATTTATTTACCTAGCGACAGCATAGGGGAGGAATCTGATTGGATAAAAGCTCAACTTAAAACAAGCTGTGCTGGAAGAAGGGCAACAGAGGAAGACAGTAGCTGTGCAATGAGAAAATAAGCTTATGGGGAAAAAATGTATAATACATGTAGTGTATTTATGAAAAATAATTAAATTATAAAATAGCTATAACTTTGTGGTTCTGTCTAGGCCAGCAGAGAAGGCCTTGCTGGCCCTGACGGCCCACCACTGCTATATAGTAGAGTAAGTAGCATTAAATGAAAAATACTCAAGTAAAGAAAGTAGCCTAAATTGTACTATTGTACAAACAGAAAAGGTAGTAAACGTTTATCAGACAAGTCACTATTACTAAATCTAAGTAAATACGTCAATAACAAAATTTGACTGACAATTGAGGTTTTAGTTGGCAAACTTACACAAAAAAATGTTAGCTGGTTAATGCTAATTACACCGTACCTGGCGCTATGCACGCCATAGTGATATAATGTGAAGTTACTTTAATATTTAGTTGCTCTCATGTATGTTTTGATAGGATTTTCTTTTTAAAAATTTAATTCCTAACATCCAAATGTTGACATGTTTGTTTTGAAATAAGTTTTGGCTTCATGGTGTCAACTTCAACATTTTTTTTAGATCTAATTATTTAATGTCTTCTTGATCACAATGTAAAAAGCAACCTTTTAAGTATTATCAACAAGCTAACATTTCTTCGACGATAGTTAGCTTTAGCGTAGCTCTGGGCATTAAGTGTCCCAAGGTACCAAATATAGGAAGAAAAGGAGTTGGAAAAATAAGATGAGAAGTAAAATACAAATGAAACAACTTTGTTTTACTAACTTACTGCAGGTTACAGGAAATAAGTAATTATTTGTTTATTTTTAGACTCATTTAAATGATTTAACAGTATTATTTATTAATGCAATCGGTTCTATTTTTGACTTGTCTGAACTTGTTACTGCCTTTTGTTTTGGTGCCACAGAGTTTGATATCCGAGAAACTGAATCCACTTTTGGCTTTGAGTCCGTTAAGCTTAGTTGTCAGCAGCAGAGAATCGCTGCTATTCTAACGGGACATCGGGCCACTTGACATACATCCCGCCGAGCCGCCTGAGACTCGATGTTGAGTAGCTATGAAAGGAAGCAGTCATAAGAAGATGAAAAAGAGGTGAAAAAGAGGTGAGAGAGAGAGAGAGAGAGAGAGATGAGGTCTCCCAAAGAGACCACTGGGAGGGGTGATGATGGGATGCAAGTTTAAAGACTTGAAAGAGGGCGAGAGGCGGAGGCTGGGAGGGAAACTCCCTCCCGGTTATGAACAACTGTTACCCTCTCTGAGCTCCACACAGGACACTCTCACTGCTGCACAGCTCTGCTTTTAGATGCACTAGAGCTGCCACACGTTTGAAAAAACCCAAGGACTTACAATCGGGGAACAATTTTCTGGAGTTACCGTTTTCTTAAATTGGATTAGGAAAGACATCTGGAGCCTCAGAGATGTGTGGGTGGGGTGCGGTCTCTGGAATGGATGATTAAGCACTCAAAGATGACTGGATAAAAGCTTCCAGCAGTGACTGCTCCACAGGGGCGGGTTCTCACGGGGTATCTCGTTGAGCATTGACTCACTGCAGGTGTGAACTTCATTTTCCTTGTGAGGTCATGGAGGATCGGGAGGAAACCCGATGACACGGCGCTCCGATTTCACTCCAATCTGGGGCACCTGCTCATCACCCAAATTGCTTTCCATCCCCCGAGTTCACAACTTCAAAAGCTCAGACGGATCTTCCACAGGGGCATAGTTTGTCTGTATTCAAAACACATTGGAAAGGCTTGTAATTATGCCCTCACTCTCATTATCTCTGTTTCTTCTGCTGCACGACTGAGAGGTGAAGGGAGAAGAGGATCAGAGGTTGAGGAGTCTTTTTTTTTTTTCGTCAAGATTAGAGAAGGTAGAGGAGGGAGAGAGGAAGGCAAAGAGGGGAGGGAGAGATAAACAGAGGCAGTTTAAGGCGGTAAACACGTCCTGTTCCAGAGCCAGCTCTCCTCTAAACACACCAGGCGTAGATCAGCATCTGTCTGACACAGACAGGACCAACTGGAGTGAGTAGAGAACACTGTGGTTGTCAGTCTGGAAACACTGGAGCGAAGATAAACTGTCGAGAAAAAAGCTGATTATTTGTGAGATTAGACAAATCTTGATTTGTCAGCAGAGAAGAAGAAACGAGGCAAACCTCAGCCATGGACGCGTCCCACAGCTTCTCTTGTCTCTGCAGCGAGATGAAACAGCAGCGCAAAAGCAGGAGCAGAGTCCTCCGCACTACATCCACCTCCAGGCCCCACGGGCCTCTCCTCCACCCCAGGACCCTGCTCCTGCTGCCCCTGCTGCTGCTCCTCTGTCTCTCCCTGTGGAGCCAGCAGGCCGAGGCCCTGGTCCCCTCCAGTTTCAGACGGCTCAGCGGCCGCGAGAAGAAGGAGATGCAGAAGGAGATCCTGTCCATCTTGGGCCTGCCGGGGCGACCCAGACCGCACCAGCCGCTACGGCCGCCCTCCTCCGCACCGCTCTTCATGCTGGACCTGTACCACGCCATGGCTGCTGATGGGGGGGAGGAGGAAGGGAATGAGATCATTGTAAACGGGCCCGGGATGGGAAAGTTTGGAGGGGCGGAGAGGTTGGCTCAGGTCAGCCACGCGGTCCTGCCCACGCTCGGCACGTACACTCCACCGCTGGGCACGGTGGTCAGCGAGGCCGACACAGTGATGAGCTTCGTCAACCTGGGTGAGTGAACTGCTTTACACCTGTGGTCGGGTATATGACCCCTGGGGAAAGAGAAACACAGGAAGTGATGCAGTTTGAACCGAGATTTCAGGAAGCGCACTGGGCTCTGAACATAGACTGTGTACAGGCTTTGAAGCAGATGGCACATAGTGGCCAAACTATGGAATTACAATTTCAGGGTCTGTCATGTGATGCCATGGGGCCCAAAAAACTTTTCCCATAGACTTACAATGGGAAATATTATTTTACTTAAGTCATTAACCTCATGACGGTCTGTCTAAATATCAATGGTGATGGACAGTAACTAAGTGCATTTTCTCAAGTAATGTACAGGTACTTGTACATTCCTTGAGTACTTCCATATTGAGCTACTATGCTTCTACTCCATTAAATGTACTTTTTATCCCACTACATTTGTCTGACAGCTGTATTTACTAGTTTCTTTCAGATTAGGATTTAACACAGAAATTATGAGTTTCTAAAATGATATACTAGTAACATCTATAAAGTTCGGTTGTTAAAATTAGCTCCAATATGCAGGGATGTCCTCAAGGCAAAGTTTGACTTTATATTTTCTTGCGGCGGACTTGAGATGAAAACATTGCGCTCTCATATCTGTACGTTCAATATGAAGCTGGAGCCAGCAGGCGGCTAGTTTAGCTTAGCATAAATACTGGAAACGGCTAGCCTGGCTTTGTTTAGAGGTAACAAAATGGCATCTCTCTAATGAACATTATATCTCATTGGATTAATTAGTACAAAAATAACACTTTGTATTTTAGAGGGGGTATGCTGGATTTGTTTCTGCACAGATTAAATGGAGCAGATATAAAAAGTCTATTCACTAATTGTCTTGCTTTAGCAATGCTGGTAGGCAGATTTAGTTGTCATTGGACAGAGCCAGGCTAGCTGTTTCCCCGTTTTCATTCTTTATGCTAAGCTAAGCTGCTGGCTGTGGCTTTATATTTAACGGACAGACGGAGTGGTATCAACCTTCTTCATTTGCAGCAGGTAAGTGGATGAATGTATTTCCACAAATGTGAAACATCTTTATCATCAGTATTGAATGATTGAGCAGTTTTTGAATACAAGATGTAAACACTGAGAGGATGCATGAACCTGATGACACTAACGTGTCACCGCTACCGTTTTAGTTTCTTCCCCACAGAGAGGATTAAAACCAAAGTCAGTATGGCTGATCTATATTGGTAGGTTTCCATTTCAACCCAGTATTCCTAAATCCACCAGCATCGCTCCACTGCTGCTGCAGCCCAACTGGGCTGAGCATCCGTAAATTGCTCCAGGACTGAGAAGACCTCCGGTACGATGATTGATGGAGGACGATAAAAGTACAAACTCTGATTAGTAAACATAACCGGAAACAAATGAGATCTCCCCCTGGAGAGGGTTCTTCCTGTTTACCAGTCAAATGAGAAGGTACACGCTCTCTCAGAAACATGACTAAAGATTACAACATAATGGTCCTTAACCATTTCACATTGCATAATAGTGCTTATTAAGAGTGAGTAACTGAGTCTACATTTGGTTAAATTGTCCACATTCAGTGAGTAATACTTCCAAGCAGGGAATCGATTCAACTCTGAATGAATTACCTCTTCATACATTCATACAGACACAAATCTAGTCGTTGATTAATCAGTTTGTCCTCGACAACCATTTTGACTGATTTAATTGTTTCAAATAATTTTTCAAGCAAGAAAACCCAAAACGCCACATTTGATCTGGTGCCAGCTTCTAAAATGTAAGAATTTCCCTTTTTCTAGTCGTATATATGAAAGTGAAGTTAATATTTTTTCGACAATCATTCAACAGCAGATTGACAGTGAATATAATGATTTGCTTCTGTAAATAATACTGTTAAACATTCCCACCCAGACCCTGTGTGAGTGTTTGTGCTTCACTGATGCCTATCTGTCAAAGCAACAACTAAACATCCTCTTCTCCATGGCTTCCTTCCTCCAGCTCCTCTGGGATGGAATCGCTGATCTGCACCCAGTTCACCGTGGGAAGCGTCTCCTCTCTGTGCTCTGGGTCAAATGAAGGGTTTCTTTATATGAAATTCTCTGTTTTGGAGAAGAAAATGCACCCTTAAATTTATCAGTCAGCACTGCAAAAAACCTCAGCGTTTCATTATCCAAACCGCCACCATGTTGTAAACAAAGGTGACTCTACTGATGCCTTTAATGGAGACCTGCAGCGCTCGCCAGTGTTTCCCTTCATATGATGAAGCTTTGGTGTTATATTTGCATATAGAATTATCGTCATTCAATATATTGCAGTTTTCTCACTCGCATGCAGCGGTTATGCAGATATTTTACGAAATAAAGTAAAAGTAGCAATACCACGGTGTAAAGATACTCTGTTACAAGTCCTCCATTCAAAACCTTAGTCAAATAAAAATATGATTTTAGTATGAAAGAGAAAAAGTACTCCTCATGCAGAATGGCCAATTTATGATTTATATAGATATTTAATATCGCTGGGTTATAATTATTGATGCGTTAATGTGCACATAACTTGAATGTTGCAGTTGGTAAAGGTGGAGCTTATTTAAATTACTTTATATATACTGGTGGGTAGCTTAATCTGTTATAACATATCACACTTAATTGGATGATTTGTATTTTCTATTAATATTTTGCATCTGCAAAGTAACAAAAGCAGTCAGATAAATATAGTTTAGCAAAAAGTACAATACTGGATTCCAGAATGCAGTGGAGTAGAAGTATAAAGTTGAAACACACGAGTAAAGTACAAGTTCCTCAAAATTGTACTTGAGTAAATGTAGTTAGTTACTTTACACCACTTGCTTGAATGTCTTGTTCCATAAAGCTGATCCTCTGCAGCGACTGAACGCTTCATCAAGTTTCTGTTTTGTGACTAATCTAATCAATGTGTGTAGTTCATGTAAGTTGAATCAAACCAGCATGGGTGTGTGTTCCTACACATATGTAATATAAAGACGCAGCTGGTTAGAATTAACGGCCCCACTGAAACACGCCGAGAGAAAGAAATAAAAGAGGCAAACGGTTGGAAGACAGATGAAAATACTGCTGTGGAGGGAGCGACTCTAAAAATACCAGCAGAGCTGCAATTAGTGGTGTTTGTGCTGAGCAGCTGCTGTGGTTCAAGGCACAACGTGTCTCTAATTACTGCAGTGTGTGTGTGTGTGTGTGTGTGT